TAAGTTTAGAATTATCTGTATGAAACACAGCTGACGTGGAGTTTAATGGCAGCAATGCATTGTCATCTTGGAATTTACTGTGGAGCATTCAGTAACGTTTCTTGAAGTAGATGTAAGTATATATGGCATAATTCCGCATCCCGCACAAAACTTAGCATTGCCTCTTCCGTTTTCACCTTGTTTAAGTCTACTTAGCAATTAGACCTTGACGCCGAGTGGACCAATTGTTTTAGTATTACCATACTAGTTGAACAAAAAGATGAATGAAATATATAAATAACAAAATTGTTTCAAAATTGTTTACGGGTTCAATTAAATTTGCATAAATTATCGACAATTTTTTTTGACATGCTTGGCAAGTGAAAATTAATTTACTACACGCTGGTGAAAGCTGGTTTGAATGAGCAAACTTAAAATGGTCCTTTGACATTGTTTTGACCCGCAATATTTCTAAGAAAATCAAAAGTGGCGCTTTTCACTAGCCGAGGACTATTGGAAATAGACCCCGAGTAGGATAGCCAATCAGAACGAAGGATTTGCAATAGTCCACAAGTATGGTATTACTTATGCGATTTGTCCGTGTGATTAACAAAACTACTYACCAACCTAATAAAACTGTCCTTTAGCTCATTCGCCAAGAAAACTCCTTCGATTTACAATGAAAATCCATTTTAATTCTTTTTAGGTAATGTATCAAGCTTGTTGGTGATCAAACACTCTGTGATAATCTTCAGTGCCTTKTTATCTTCAAAACAGTACAAAATATCCATATTAGGCACATCTTTAATGTCACAATCATTGTTTATAATTRGGATGAATTAAAAAGTCCAAACCTACCCAAAAACGTTTTTCTAGTTTTGAAGGACTTTTGRACGGGGGTGATTCAACACCAACCCTTCACTTCAAATGTGCTTCGTCAGCAATTCCAATACTTCCCCAGTAGCAATGAAYTGAAATATCGAGACATAATTTTGTTCATTTACTGCAAAGAATCGAAGCCAGTAATCGTAAWAATGGCTCGTGAAATTTGTTAGAAAGAGCACTACGTGACATATCAATTGATAAAGAAAGCCCTTCATACATCTTTCGCCATTTGTGGTGCTTGTGTTCTATGACACATTATTGTTTTACATATATCAGGAGGAGCCGACTGGTTCCTGGGAGAAATATATCTGTTCTTATGTCCCCACTAGCCAGCTGTAAGTCACCACTGGTTGCCAGCGAGAAATTCAGAAAAAAGAACTCTCCAGGCAGAGAATACTGTCTAACAATTTTTGCTAAAATTAAAAAAAAATACTAGACCCTGACAGCAGGGTTGACCGTGACCAGTATGGTGGTTTGATATTGCTTGTTTGAAAAAAGACAATTTGTGTACAGGGCCGTTTCTCGAGTTTTGCAAAGTAAAGTTTTGTTTAATCTTTTCAAGGATGGAAGTAGGCTCGTAAACATGCTGTTGATGGCATTTAGTTGAGACGTAACAATCCCCAAATTAATCACCGATCAGTTAACGCACTTGTGTTCCCTGTGTTAAATTGTCGTCGGAGACATCGGAAACTGGTGTTGAGACAATCTGCCATTTCTCAGGATAATTCAGCAATGATTTCTTGATACGAAAGTTTCTTATTAGTGTCCTGTTAAACGGTAATATAACAGAGTCGTGCTCTCGAAAGACGGTGATTATGTAATGCGACTTCAAACTCGTTCGGACACGTACATGGAGAGATTTTAGACATGTGAGTGGAATGTCTTGTCGTCAATAAACCAAGACAAATTGCTCGCTAGCT